AACTCGTTTTTTTTTTAGTTTATAATATCTTTGTGCTATAGGTATGTGCTTACATATATTACACATTGATTTTTTTAACGCATATGTATCATTATGTAGCATAGCTATTTATAAATTTCCTAAATAAACAAATATGATAAATATTGGAAAGTGTGCTTTCTTACAGAATATTTACCATGCAAGCAACCTATGAAAACCCATCACACTTGTAGGATTTTAAAGGCCTTCTTTTCCCAAATAAAACTCTGTTTTGTAGAAAAAAGGTTGGTATATTGGAACGATAAAAAAATATTTATTTCCTGAGTTAATAAGGAACAAATAAACAAGTAACAGAACAGTCTTTCAAAAATAAAAATCAGGCACTGCTGAAGCAAGTACAAAAATAACCCCTATTTCATACTGTGACGAGATATTATGTTTCCTGGGATCATTTGTGTCTGGAAAATAGCATATTGCATCACTAGTCTGAAAAAATGGTATAGCAGTGTCTTGCTTGAAACCTAGCGAAACTTTTACAAGGTAATAAAGAACACAGAAACAAACCAAGTACAAAAATGGCCTTTATTTCATACTGTGATGGAATATGATATTTTCCGGGATCATTTGAGTCCAGAAAAAGCACATTGCATCTCTAGTCCAGAAAAGTGCTATGGCAGTGTCTTGCTTGAAACCTGACGAAACTACATAAAACAAAAGAGATAAGTGTAAAGCATTGCTTTTACCTTCAATCTGTCTTAAAACTAATAAAGAACATAAAAACGAGTAACAAAACAGTCTTTCAAAAACAAAAATTATTATACTCTAAAGCGACCTTTATTTCATACTGTGACATCATACAATGAGCACGCAAATGTTGGAATCAAATCATAAAATATACAGGATTGATTTTTTTCAAAAAACCTCGGATGAGTCGATTTTGATTTTAGTGGCCGTTTTGTTGATGATAATATAATTTAGGGAAACTCAAATACCAATTATGACAGCTAACTTTATTTTTTCGAATGAGAACATCAAGTTTTTATTTAATTTTCAAATTCTACTTTAAATTCCTAACCCATTTCATGCATCATACCTACTGTTTCATAATATAGATAGTTGCAAATTGACTTTTTCAATACTTCCGAAACAGATGAAGATAGGTATAGGACATGATACATAGAATAGGTCCAGAATTTAAGGTAAAATTGGAAAACGATTCATTAAAAAAAATAAAGTTAGCTGTCATAACTTGTTTTTGATCACCCTGTATACTTACATGATATTATAAAACGGTCACTTAAATCAAAAATCGACGTGTTCCAGGTTTCTTGAGAAAAATCAACCCTGTATATTTTATGGATGTTATTTCAACCTTTGCGGGCTCACTGTATAATATTTCCCCAAGATCATTTGATCCAAGGAAACATCACTTGCATAGTTAGTTCGTGAAAGTGTACGGGTTAACATCCTGACAATACTGATGAACCGTTAAAATGCTCTCAAAGAATAAAAAGCAAAAAGGTTTTATTTTTGTTTTATTACTATTTAATAATAACTAAAGTAGAACGTTTTATTTTATTATTTTATGCTGTTTTTATTTAATTTTTTTAAAACCTTTTTTGCTCTTTTTCTTTAACATTACTTAGTCCGTGAAATAGCATCACAGAATGAAATAAATGAAAGATAACTAAACATTAGTATTTCTTACTAATACAAATAGCATAAAGATGATAAAACAGGAACAAGTAACAAACTAATTGGGGAACTTATATTTTAGGAATAACACATTTTCCATCACCAGTATAGTGAACACTATAAGGAAATGGATTGCAAAGATCTGCTGCATAACTGTATAAAAAGAGATTTTGTTCATCAAAGGTCGGATTTATTTCATAAGCGTATATATGATTGAAAAAGCCATAAACATGTAGCTTAGCTATAATAAAATAAATATCATCATCGTCCAACACAATATATTTAATTTGACCGAATTCTACATCAATAGAACACTGTCCTTTGATATCTCGATAAAAAAATTGTATTTAAATATTACGCCATTAACATTCAGCCACGAAACAAAAAAGGAATTTTTCGAAAATAATTTGAAAAAATCGAATTTTGAAAAAATATCTAAACTCTGATGCATAATGTTGAAGTCAAGTCTTTTAGTGAATGAAACCTTTCTTGCTTAATAATCTTTGAGAAAATTGTAAAGAGTCCTTAGAAAATAGAGTAACTAGGAGATTTTTCCGACAAGTTGTAGAGTGAACTGTGGACTTTAACTTTTTATGGTACGCTTCATACTTCATACACCAGATATTTATTTCTAGGAGGGCCTATATCTAGTATAAGCTCTGGGTAATGAAGAAGGAAATGGTATTTGGGTTTTAAAGGTACATTGAAGTTTTTAATAAATAATTTATGATGTTCTTCAATTATAATTCTTAAATATTCAATTTTCTCTAAAGTAAAGGATCGACTTAGAAGTAGTTCAATAATTTCTCTTAAAATGAGATAAAACTTCCATGCAGGAGCTGATTGTGGTACTAAATCACCAACAAGTATACCAAAATAAACAGAGAAGGATAACGTTTCACTAGCTGACATGATAAGTGTTTTTTTTTTAGATGATCATGCTTAATAGAAGGCATGGCAGTCCCAATATCAATATCAATTTAGAAAACTTAAAAAATTGTATTCTGTTATTTAAACGATTAAGATCAAAATATTTTTTATCTATCAAATCATTGATTAAATATGCGATGCCATATCATAACGTAAAACACCTTCAAATACGTCATGCATCAAATCACAATACCTATTTCTGGTAACATGAAGACTCACTAAATCATTCCAGATGCATTTTTCTTTGACACCATAACTTAACTCGCCAGCATGAAGTTGATAGTTGTCAGTTGTACGAAGGATCAACTTGGAAACATCTGTCTCTGTCTTTGTAAAATTTCTATGTGTTACACAAATACGGCAAAAATAGTCAGAATTAAAACTTTCCGAAAACCCAAGAATTGAGTTTAGACCAAGATTATCTCCAAGAATTAAAAGTAACGGAAAGTATACTTTTTTTTTCTCATTATTAATAAATAAGTCAATTCCTTGAGATTCAAGTTTTTTTAATTCATTGATTAAACCGGAGAACAACTTTCCATTTCCATAAAATTGTTTATCAGAAGTGTAAAATAGCTGATATAAAAAAACATTTTCTTGTAAAGATGTATACTCTGGTGGAAGACATGCTAAGCTAACATATACAGCTCCTATTTCGTCATAAAATAATAATAAGGGGAATATTACTTTACCCTCAAAAGAATTTTGAATATTTTTCCAGAGTCGACCTTGAATAATGCTAGTTGTAATAGTTTTTTGTGATGTTTCTTCAATAATATAATTTAGAATTTCATTATTAACCTTAGGTAACTCTAAAAACTTTTTTAATTTCAAAAGTCAGTATTTATTTTAATACCTGGAGCTCCAGGTTTTGCAATATTATCTAATACCCATCGTGAACCTATATAAAATGGCTCCGAACGAAATAAAGTGTCAGAATTTTCAAAATATTTTAGTCTTAGATAGTCTGATTTAATTTTACTGAAAATTTCATCAAGCGCACGTACTTCTTGAAGTAATATATTACTAGATTCAGAGTGGTGAAGAATTTTTTCAGATATGCTGTTCAAAATACTAAAGATTAGTTCTTTTGTATCACCAATTACCTCTTGTACGACGCTTTTGTTTAAAGTAGGGTTACTATAAAGCTTTGCGATAAACTTTATCACTTCATTTTCTAGATTAGGACCTTCTGAATCAACAGTGGATTCTACATGGGTTGAAATAGAAGGAACATTTTCACTCAAAGACACTTCATGATCTGTCTTTTTTTGTTCTGTGGTTGGTTGGGTTTGAACAAATATTGTATTGTTATTATGTGACATAGCATAATGTTTTCGTAAAGTATTTATGTTACTGAATGACCGATGACAATTTTTTTGGACACATTTATATTTATCCAAATATGGATAATTTAAAGATATATGTACGTTTGATTAAACTTTTGTGACACAGAAAAGTTTTCGAACATTTGAAACAACCAAAACTTTCTAATTCCATAATGTTGCAAAAAAAGGTTACAGAAAATGTGTTATACCTAGGTAGTTACCTACTTATTTAAAGTTGTGTTTTCATCAACTTATCTTATAAATTAGATAAATTCATTCAAATTTGGAATTTCAATGTCTTTCTTTGTGTGGTACGTATACATTTTCCACTGAATGAGGTACCAAATATGTTGGCTAGCCACAGGATATTGAGCATCAAAAACCTGGTAGGCTTTGAAGCAAGTATCTAGTGCACTTATGACTGAAGGACATTTGAATTCCAACTCGTTTTAAGCTCGGACCTATAAGCAAAATATAAGGTTGTACACATATACCCTTTGAATAAGCGAATTCAACCTGTTGGTTTTTGGCGAATCCCTGGCCTCGGTTATGGAGAGTTTCCAAAATTTTTTGGCTTTGCTTGTCCTTGTTTTCGGAGGTAGCAACGAGGGCAACAAGAATAATTGTATTGCTTTTTTTGAATCTAAAAAAAAAGATTTGGTTACAGACTTCAATAGGTATTTCCCTTCCAAAGTGTCAGGAAGAGTAGTGAAAAGTGGAACACATTTTGGGAGTCTTGAATTTGAAATTTTATAATTTTGGTCAGATGCCAGGTAAAAAAAAATCTGTGTTGGTGATGTGTCATTTACAAAATAATGTGAAATAAACTTTTTTCTACAAGCGTGCGGAAAAGTGTACTTTTCTGCACGCATTTCAGGTCATGAAAGTATCACTCTTCCGCACTAGTGCTTTTCTGTTTTTTTCCGCACTGAGTGCGGTTTTCAAGTAAAATACCTGAAATTTTTAGGTATACAGGTACTTACAGGTAAACAGGTATACTACAGGTACAGGTAGGAAAAAGTGGAAAAAAAAATCTTTAATTGATACACATGTAGGTTAAAATATTACCTTTCATCTCGTAGAAAAAATAGTGTTCCTAACTCGAGGGGAAAGTCTCTTTTCCGCACGTGATTGCTTGCCGAACTCCGCTGCGCGTCGTTTGACAAACTGCAATCGCAAGTGGTACTTTCCGCACTAGTCAGGAAATATACTATATACGTCAGGGGTGAATGGGTCAAATTTCCAGAGGACAAGCACAAAAAAAATTGGAACGGAATAATTATTACAAAAAGGTGTCAGAAACTTACCAGCTGTAGGCTATATATAGCATCATCTGTAGAGGTTAGCGTTTTTTTTCTCTTGTCATAAACCTCCGCAAACATCGCATCAAATGCAGCCTCCACATTTAGTTGTGCTGTTGAATGAAGCTGTTCAAAATCATATGCAACCTAGAAAGACAATTATAAATCATTTGAAAGTTAGTGTTGTTCATTTCTAAAAACAAATGGCGGGTATCCCATCAATAATTTTAATTCTCAAGAACTTACCAATTCGGGAGCAATATCTTCTTTTAAAATCGGCCATTCCTGGAAATAGTCAGCAATGGTAGTGTTGTCGGATAATTTTCGTAAGCAGTAGGAGGCTTTCCAATGTAAAAGAACTTCAGCTTTTGGTGTAGAATTTTTTGACAGCCAAATTTTACTGTCTGTTACTGATTGGTCAAATACCCCTGTAAAAAAAAATATTGTGTAGGTAAAATTTGAAAATAAAAAGGAAGATAATTCTTAATAATATAAAATACTTATGTAAGCATAAATTACCATTATCAGTTTTATCGCATTCTTCTCCTTTTGTTCCTTGTGAGTGTGAGTTTTCTAATTTCCGAATCAAATATAATTTGTTTCTATATTTCTCGATAAGTTTGCCCCTTGCTGGTTCGGATCGGTTTCGGTGGGAATCTTTTTTCAAAATAGGTTCTATGAAGTACGTGCTTTTTTTTTCTTTGGGTAAGATTTCGATTTTTTTTTTTGAAATCACTCGAAAATGGTGTAAGGTTAATTTTCCTTGGAAAACATTGAGTAATTTAGTAACTAGTATGTCACACAATTTGTCCCTATCCGAATTATTTAGACTTCCATTAGGACCTTGCCCTTTAGTCAGTAAAGCCTGACCAAGGAAATCCTTCGTCCAAATTTCCTTCACACTGATGTTCTCCACTACCACATTATTCTCCGATGTTATGGAAAATGCTGAGTCTAGAGTGACTGTACTTGTGCTCGGTGAATTATAATTTGGTGCTAATTGATGCAGTGGTTCTGATAAAAAAATAATGGGCAAATCTAAATTTTGGGTTGATGGCTGCGGATCTAGAGAAGTCACCGTTGTCGTTCCTTTATTTGACTAGTCTACAGTAATAGCCTCTGTCAGATTTTCCTTTTCTATGACTTGAATTTTCATTGGAGGTTCGTAATTTTCCTCCGATGTCAATTCTGTTTGTGAGGTTTCAAGCTAGAAAATAAAATATAATAACATGCATGCCATAATAGTACCTATATCAAATACAAAAAAGTACTTTTTTGAGAGCTCTATAATATTTCTTTTATCTACGACTATTTAATTATAAACGCATTTTGCTTGAGATAGTAACCACATAATGTAACTACTATTACACACCGTTGAATATGAATTTCATATTCCACACCCGTGGAATATAGGTACATTTTTATATGTATTCCATGACATGACAGCATTGACAGCGTTCCAAAATAGAATCGAGCTTGTTTGGATTGTTGTTACTAGGCAACTAAAATATTTGATTTTGACAAAATAAGTATATAAATTGTATATAGTCCGACAAATACCATTTTAAAGTCACGTGATACTGATGGTGGCAAAAAACGTATGTCCATTGATAATGTCGTTGATATCACCTACAAAAAGCTACTGGTGGTTAATTACTATTGAATTTTAATATATGTTCCCACTAGCATTTTACAAACGCGTTTCTGAAGTAGTATTGACCAATCAGAGGGTAATTTTAATACTTGCAATTGTTGCGAGACTCACTTTTGTCGCATCTGCTGTCTGTTGTAATACATTCTGAACTTAAACTGGGTACCCGTTTTCTATTTGCTTCTTTTCGACTTGGAAAAAGGTTAATATAGTCAAAATTATTAGCTGTGTTTGTTCGTTGTATTATTTTCGAAAATAACTTTGACAAACTAATTGATGACAGTGACGGATTCTATTTCAGGTGAGAATTTTATGAACAATAATTAGACAGAAATTTTTTTGTCAATTTTACTATCACCGCTGTTTGAGATGTATTCAACAAGGATAGAGAAAAATCACGTGACTTTAAAATGGTATTTGTTGGAGTATACAACATCTTTGTAGCCTGTCGACTACAAAATGGCCCCAACTCATTTTCGTCAAATCTGCAAATTATTACCTATAGTTTCTCATTAAAATGAATAGTCGTAGATAAAGCATAGTATTTGACTTACGTATAATGGCGCCTGCGGCTCGTTAAATATAGCCTACATTATACGCTCGTTAAATAAAATATTTCTTAGCTCCGATAAAGGGTGCAGGCAAAATCATTGATTAATACAGGGTGTTTCTGAATGATGGTATAAAACTTTCAGGATAAATAGTCCTCATTGAAATAAGAAAAAACTTGATAGGAACATGGATCCGCAAATGCTTAGATTTCGAGATACAGGGCGTCAAAGTTTGGAAAAAATCGGTTTTCTGCTCAAAAATCTGTTTCCCGATTTTCCTTAAACTTGGCAGGTTTGTTTATAATAACAAAAGGTATTTTTTGACTAGATTAGATTTGTTAAGAATGATTCCAGTGGCACCCTAGAGGGCAACTACGTTGGTAAAAGTAGAAAGAAAAATGGCACACTATTTTTTTATACCTTTGATATTTTTTTTAGATTGAGCAAGTCATATTAATAGTCAGAAAATGATTTTTGTTATCACAAACAAACCTGTTACGTTTAAAAAAAAAATCAAACTTTGACAGCCTGTATCTCGAAGACTTAGTATTCGCGAACCAATGTTTCTATTATGTTTTTTTTTTTTTTTTATTTAAATGAGGGCTATTTATCCTAGAAGTTTGATCCCACTATTCAGAAACACCCTATAGATTAATTGACTGTTCGATTTTTTTTTTTTTTTAGAAAAATCGAAATATTGATTGATCGTTTTTTTTTTATTGATCATTTTTGATTAGGTAATCGATTATTTCAGATTCATCGATTAATTGATTACATATTTGTAGAATTTTTTTTTAGAAAAATCCTCGGAAAAGTCGATAACGATTTATCGAAAATACTTAATCGAATCGTCAATCGACTACTTTGTATTATCGATGATTGCGTATTTCAATAAATTTTTAAATATTAATTCATGAGAAAAATTAACAACTATTAAAAATAAAAAATAGGGGTTATATCACAATATTTAGCCTTAACAATTATTAGTCACCTGCCCATATCTTACCTCTACTTTTTTTAAATTAGCAATCCCCCTTCTTAAACGAACTTTGTCCCCTATATTCCCCATTACCAGCTTCTCTATTTCTTGCTCAGAAAGCAACTCGAGCAGACCAAGTTCCGTAATGTTTTGTTCTAGAACAAATAGTTAACATTTCCTTTTATCAAAGAATATTTTACGAGATATTTTAAAATGAAATAAAATAAAATTTTGACCTTAAGAATTAGTATAGTAAAATACCTGTTCCCAAGTTTAGGAAGTTTTGAGTGTGTAAATATTTACTTGAATTAACTGTTGATAATCCTGGAACAGACTGTCCACAAAATAAAACGAGATTGTAGGCGAAAACTAAAACAATACTTTATTCAAATTATTAGCGTAGGTACAGTAACGAAACCGACGGAAGACTGAGCCCTTTAGATTTAATAAAAATAAAAATTATCTCTCTTCTAGCAAAAAAGTAAATTCCGAGAACGGGCGTGGTAGCCTAAACAAAATCTATTTATAGAATAAGGGTTCTATTGTTATCGATGTGAAGAGACGCTTTTATTCGTTGTTATTTTAAATTGAATATTCCAACATTAACAACATCAAAAATTAAACTATTAATGGTCCCCTACGTATTCACCAAGGACGAAAACTAACCAGGCCATTTTTATCACAAAAAATGAGCTATTTTTATCATAAATAATTGATCTTTTTTTGTGATGTGAGGTACCATTGGTGACCAAAAAGACCAATATTAAATATTATATCATAATACGTATAGGAGTACGAGATTTAAATATTAATTAAGATCTGCACGCAGGCAGGACTGGAACCGAATCCCCGAGCCGATCCCCATTTTTTTTTTCCTATCTAGGTAAAATATGGTGTTAAAATCTAGTTACATACCTTCGAATGTCTTAGCCAGGTGTACCAAATTGTTATTTTCCAAAAACTGCTCCATTTTGCATAGCATAAGCACAATTTTTCACCAACCAGCCAAAGACCGGCCGGCCCGGCACTTCTATTTCCACCTTGTTTGTGTGTGGTGTGGCGCGTGCTGCGACTGCTGCGTGCTGGGGCGGGACCAGGAAGTACGGCAAGGACGACGGCGACGCTAGGGCCAGGCGCAGGCGCAGGATCAGCAAATACGCATTTTAATTGAATAAAGATTTTAAATAATTGAACTATTGAACCAAGTATTTATTAATTTTATCACCAACACAAATAATTGAATACCAGTTCCGTGCTATTGAAACACGTTTGCTGTAATATATGTAATTACTGGATGTTCTTAAATCATTTAGTACATTTACTTAAATATAATGTATTAAATTGTTCAGGCAACTCCATACATATTTACAGTGAGTTTACTTATATATCAAATATATGACATATTTCAATAAAGTTTGTAATACTTTAAATCAATAAAATTTAGGTCAACTATTTCTATAGATTAGTTTGAATTGACGAATTTGCTTGATAGTCCAAGCAATGAAGGAAGTTTACCTCAACATAATTAGAAGTTAACATTTTTTGGGGGGGGATCGGTTCATTTTCATGTGCTTAATAACATATTAAGTTTGCGACCTTGTACTTCCATAGGGTTTTCAGTTAGGGGTGGTTTTTAGGGGTAATTTGCAGCTTATGGAGAACGCTGCTCAAAAGGATGGTCCAATAGCAAAAAGTTTCAAATTAATGTTTTAGCTGAAGCTTTTTGCTATAAAAAACTCAGCGACAGCACCCCTCTTAGCCTCTATCTTCTATAGTTTTTTTTCTGCAGCGTCTTGAATAGTAGCATGTTTTTGTTCAAGGTTACTGAATCAACGTTTTGCCATTTTGCGCGCATTTGTTGCAGCAGCGGCCGAATGCATAATCCGATTTCAATTTTTCAAACACCACATTATTTCTAAAGAAATCCACTCTCCAACGCTTTTTTGTTCGAATTTTTTGCTTGAAAATTAAGCGAGCACCGACTTGTCTAATGTGCGAGGAAGTTGTAAATTGCATCGAAAACTACCCCTTTCTTGCATTCACTCTAATTTCTAAACGGGGCCAAATATTTGGTGACAGTTTTCGACAATCGGCAGCCCATTTATTCCTCTCATAATGCCCCAGCGGATTTTTTTTTTCGTTAATCCCTTAATGACTTATTGGCCTGAAAACGTCGCGCGGGATTTTTCAAAAAGTAAAAAAAAATTAAAATTGTCGCATAGCGCTGAAACTTGGTACGATGGCTTTATTTATTGTTCTCATGAATATACTGCAATTTTATATCATGTGAAGCAATTAAAATTGCATTATATTCGTAATAACAATAAATAAGGCCATCGTACCAAATTTCAGCGCTATGCGACAATTTTATTTTTTTTTTACTTTTTGAAAAATCCCGCGCGACGTTTTCAGGCCAATAAGTCATTGAATAATTGACGGAAAAAAAAATCCGCTGGGGCATTATGAGAAGAATAAATGGGCTGCCGATTGTCGAAAACTGTCACCAAATATTTGGCCCCGTTTAGAAATTAGAGTGAATGCAAGAAAGGGGTAGTTTTCGATGCAATTTACAACTTCCTCGCACATTAGACAAGTCCGTGCTCGCTTAATTTTCAAGCAAAAAATTCGAACAAAAAAGCATTGGAGAGTGCATTTCATTAGCAATAATGTGGTGTTTGAAAAATTGAAATCGGATTATGCATTCGGCCGCTGCTGCAACAAATGCGCGCAAAATGGCAAAATGTTGATTCAGTGACCTTGAACAAAAACATGCTACTATTCAAGACGCTGCAGAAAAAAAACCATAGAAGATAGAGGGATGCTGTCGCTGAGTTTTTTATAGCAAAAAGCTTCAGCTACAACATTAATTTGAAACTTTTTGCTATTGGACCATCCTTTTGAGCAGCGTTCTCCATAAACCTCAAATTACCCCTAAAAACCACCCCTAACTGAAAACCCTATGGAAGTACAAGGTCGCAAACTTAATATGTTGTTTAGCATATTAGAATCAACCGATCCCTCCAAAAAAATTTCAACTTCTAATTATGTTGAGGTAACCCCTCTTTTCAGATCTCCGTTTCTTGGACTATGAATTGAATCGACTTTATTTAGGTGAATAACGTAGGTATATATTTATTTCAATTAAATAGTTGTCAATTACACGATTTAATTGTTTCTTGCTTTTGGATTTTTTTCTGTGTATATATTGATAATAGTGTCGACACATAGGTAACTCGATGTGGGTAGGAAAAATGCGGTCGTCTCCCAGACTAAGTGTTTGGGAATGTCATCAAATTTTTCATTGAATAGGTACATAGTGGTAAGCATGGTATTTTGGAACTTATAGCCCAGGCTACCATATAAAAGGTAGAATAACAATAAAGCCATAAAATTAAAATGAGGGATAAGGGTTGAACGGGGGCACCATTGTCGGAGAGTTATCAATATTATAATAATAATAAATCCCTATGTAATAAATGAATTATTGGTAGACAAGACAATACATATTTTTTGGAAATTTGCTTTCAAGAAGTACCTACAAACAATAATTATAAAAGTCTATCAAGTGTATTATAATTAATGTTTACCCTAGAAATTCATCAATGCAGAAATGCATACCCTAGAAATATATCAGTGATGAGTGATGCTGATGATAGTATCCGCCAGAGATATTCGAGATTCCTACAAAAAAGTAAACTTTGAAAAAAGTATGTTTATATATCAGCCGGCCTACATTTAGTCAGGAGGCACGTGTCAGGAACCGCTTGAGTGCAAGATTATATTGGTGTGAAATTATTCGGTTTAAATTGTTGTAAATAATGTTTAAAATTATTTTTCAATATTCTTAAAAGATTTTGCAAATATTTTATGCAAGAAATTAAGTAGGTAGGTACTTAATCGAATCCAGAACAATACGATAATACTACGCAAAATGAATTTAATTGATGCGCTTGGACTAAAATTATCCTCAACCCTTATCTAGGTATATAGTTTTTGCTTTACGCCGAAAAAGAAATCATTTTTTTGTAGGAATCTCGAATATCTGTGGTGACCACATACCTGTCGTCGTCGCGCCTATCATGGTTTACGATTGTTTTATGATGATTTATGCTATCAACTGCAATTAAATAGACTTTAGCACCAAAACTCGATCTATGTCATGATAGGTCTGCGGATATTTTAAACCCGGCTAATTAAAGTTTTTATTTCTTTAAATAAACTAAGCAGCAGATGAAGTGGGACACCCGAAAAATTGCCTAATTTTGACTTGCTATAACTTCTACATTTTTTTGCCGATCTTGGATTGTAAACCACTGTAACAAAGCGCCATCTTTGGTCCCGATAAAGTTCTTTCTGATGCTGGGTGAATCACTGGGTCAATACCTCGGGACATCTTTGCCATTTTTTCGATACACTGCGTTACTATGGAAATATGGCCATTTTATGGAATTTAGTTTTCCTCTTGAAATTAGCGATTCTTTAATTGAACAATAACAGATTCCGTCTAAATTGCATCAAGGAATGACTTGTATAGAAAATGGTCAACACCAGCGGCGTGCAAAAGGGGGTTTATGAAATTAAAATAAAAAAAATCGATTTTATCTGAAATTTTTGAGTTTTGTTAAGCGTTAAAATTTAATAAGTGTTATGAATAATTGTGATGAGTTTGATTTTGATATCCAGAGGCGTTCAGTATAGAAAAATATTTTTTCCCCATTTTTTTAGACTTTATTATGCATTTTTACATAAAAAGCTAATACAATAGTTAATTATTTTTATTTAGTAAGGCATTGGTCCTCCTCTAGCCTGAATCACTACCTGACACCGCCTTGGCATGCTCAGAATTAAGCGATTAATTAGCTCCATAGGAACTGACTTCCAGAGCTCCAGAATCATCACCTCGAGATCGTCTAGAGTTTTTGGCTGACGTTCTCCCAGAGAAAGCTGTAACTTCATCCAGCTCCAGACGTGCTCAATCGGACTCATGTCTGAGAATCTAGGAGGCAATTCGGTACGATTGAAATTTTGCCATTGCAGGCCGAGCATTATCGTCTAACAAGAACAAAACCCTCGCCATAATTTCGAGCATGTGGGAGAACTTGCGGAATCAGAGATCCATTCAGGTAGACTTGGCCGGTAATATTGCCGCTACGAGTTTTATCCTTCCGTTGTGTTGAATACCCCCCAAACTGTCCATCCTCCACCGCCAAATGCAACTTGGGAACGCAAGATTTCTTGTAAAAATCTCCCCATCTCCACCAAGTTAGCAATCGGCCGTCGGAATTGTACGGGTTGAAACGGTATTCATCAACGAAAAGACAGTCTCTCCACCTAAAATCCCAATTCAGGTATTCCTGGGCCCATCTTTTTCTGTTCGCCTGATGAATGTTCGTACAAAGTGGGACTTTGCCCGACGGCGAGCATTTAATCCCTGATCATGTAGGCGCCTTCTAATGGTGTCTCCTGGAACATTCAACTGCAGATGCTTGAATTCTCTTGGCAGTCCAAACTCTATTTCCAACCGCAGTACGTACTACTAGTCGATCCTGACGAGAATTTGTTCTTTTTTGAGATCCTCCATCGTGTCGGTAAGCAGCAGTACCGTTGTTAGCTTCTCTTTGCAACGCTCTTCCCGCACGGACGATTTATTGACATTAAGTAAGTCAGAAATCTCTCTAATTGTATGATTTCTCTACTGCAATATTAAAATATTCTCTACATCAGCACTCGTAAGTCGCGCTATTTGGACCATGGCAATTCAAATTTTGACAGAAAATGCATTACATGATGGCAATGCTTTACAAGGTTTGTTCGTATCACGTTAACATTAAATAAAATGGAAGAAAATGAAAAATGCTGTTTTTTTTTCACCAAACGCCTCTGAATCTCAAAATCAAACTCATCACAGTTATTTATAACACCTTTTAAACTGTAACGCTTAATAAAACCTTTAAAATTTTCAAATAAATCGATTTTATTTATTATAATTTCATAGACCCCCTTCTGCACGCCGCTGGGGTTGCCATTTTCAATACAAGTCATTCCTTGATGCAATTTAGACGGAATCTGTTATTGTTCAATTAAAGAATCGCTAATTTCAAGAGAAAAACGAAATA